TTTTTTTTTTTTTGGGGGGTGGGGGTGGGGGTAGTGGATGTTTCTGCTGCTGTCTTTCCACCCCTGGCTGTGTAAATTATGCTATATAGTTTCTATATGTATCATTCTCACTGGTACTGTGCTTGGGAATGGAACTGCTAAATATGTGGTATTTTATTGATCTGTCGAGTGTCTTGATGTTTCTTCACAAAACTTGCAGAACTACTCATCAATTATAACTGTTCATCCGGAGGTCATTGATGGAAGGCCTGGAACAATGGTAATCGAGTCATTTGTGGTGGATGTTCCAGATGGGAATACTAAGGATGAAACATGCTACTTTGTCGAGGCCCTCATCCGGTGTAACCTCAAATCACTAGCTGATGTGTCAGAGCGCTTAGCCGTGCAGGGCCATATGGAGCCTATTGACAGAACGTAGTTTACACTTTCTGCATATGCGGCAGTCTGGACATCGATCTTTTGCTAGAGCGTACAGGGATTTGATTAGTAGACGAGTAGAGTGACTGGTTTTATGCTAGTCCCTTCTCGATCTCAGAAGTATATATACATATACATGCTTCCTTTTAATCGTCTATAAGGTCACCGCAGTTTGTAACATGCAACCGGTTTAATCTTGCAACTGGCTATTTCATAATGTAAAGAACCAGCTATAGTGTTTGTGGGCAGTGTGAATGTATTGAGCTTGGATTGTAAATATCTATGCTCATAAAAATGCTTCTTCTTGTTATAGGATCAAAACTGTGGTTATGACAAGCTCTATGCTTGTGTATCTTTGAGATTTGATGTGTTACTAAGTACTAGAAACAGTATTTAGTAAACTAAAAATAGTCTGCTTTTGCCTTTTGTTGTATACTACACTCTCCTTTATCCTTTCTGAATGTTATATTATCTCCTCCACATCACACTGTAATGCTTCTTCTTGTTATAGGATCAAAACTGTGGTTATGACAAGCTCTATGCTTGTGTATCTTTGAGATTTTATGTGTTACTAAGTACTAGAAACAGTATTTAGTAAACTAAAAATAGTCTGCTTTTGCCTTTTGTTGTATACTACACTCTCCTTTATCCTTTCTGAATGTTATATTATCTCCTCCACATCACACTGTAATGCTTCTTCTTGTTATAGGATCAAAACTGTGGTTATGACAAGCTCTATGCTTGTGTATCTTTGAGATTTTATGTGTTACTAAGTACTAGAAACAGTATTTAGTAAACTAAAAATAGTCTGCTTTTGCCTTTTGTTGTATACTACACTCTCCTTTATCCTTTCTGAATGTTATATTATCTCCTCCACATCACACTGTAATGCTGTATCTATCTTCCCTTGAGCCTAAGTTCTGAAGAATGGACCCTAATATTTGGCGGGCAAAGATACCCGATACATGTGATGGTGCGAGGTAGCAGGCATTCGCGTCAGACTGCAAATTGGTCCGAATATTATCATTATGAAAAAATATATAAAAAGAGATGCATATTGCTATTCAACAGTTCAACAACAAACCCAGTGTAATCCCACAGGTGAGGTCAGGGGAGGCTAATGTGTAAGGTAAAAAGGTTATTTTCGATAGGCCTCCGCTCAAGGAACAATGAAAATAAAGTAGCGCACAGTAACAATAACAATGTAATAGGAGCAAATGACACAACATGTAATAATAAAGAACCAATAATAAGAAAATACTGCTATTCAATAGTTCAAAGGCTCTAATTGACTACAATTCTCTTTTCCCAATTCCTCCCAAAGGAGACAAAAAAAACTAAAAGATATACTAATAACCTATACCATTTTCTGAAAAAGATACAAAAAGCAACCCATTCCCCCTTTATTTGGCTGAGATATATTGGCCAATATTAGACGATTTCAAATGGACAGAATATGGTATCAACTATAGTAGAGTCATTGAACTTTTGAAGTGGAGAATTAGTGATTTAGTGGGAACTAGCTTTAGTTGATGGGTGTGGCCACTGGCGTTGGGGGAATGGTTTGGCTTAAGAGCTTTATTCTTCATGTCAGCAATATCTTCTAGTTGCAAAAGCTTTTACGTAAAACTGTGAATCTATGCTTTAATGGGTAAGATAATAATACTATATTGAAGTTTTGAAGTAGACATATATGGGTTGAGTATATAAAAAGCCAAAAAAAGAAATATATATATATANAAAGATCATAATTACATGGAGGAGTACATACACCTTAACCTCTATTACATGATGAAGGTTGATTGAAACCAACTTTTTGTAAAAACTGAGACTCAGAGAGAGGTTAATAGACAAAAGATTGAGGGCCTCTTCCCTAAGCTTAGGAAACTTAGAGAGTTTGTATGTAGGAATTACACATAGATATGTAACAAGGGACCAAAAACTACTACTACTACTATTAGACTCCGTTACTATAATGATATGACGCTTCTTTCTTGTTTTGAACCTGAACCTGAAAAATATTAGGTGATCGTTTAACATGTTTAAATTTTGATAAACAGAGTTACTCGATACAAGTGCTTATAAAAAATAACAAATACCCTATAGAATTAATCGAGTTGTGCGTAAGTTTTCTGAACACTATACTTGAGAAAAACTAGAAGATGGTGGAGTCCGTTTTGCATAAAGTGAGCTGGCTAGTGTTCAATGCGACAAAGCCAGGGCACATGGTATTTAGCTGCCAACCAACAAGTGCAGTTATGACTCTTCACTTGATTTTTGTATTGGTTTTATTGATGCTATGGACAGAGATGGGCTCAAGATTTAACATCTATCACTGTTTCGTGACAATGTGTGTGAAGTACAGTATTTATTTTTCTTTAAAAAAAATTAATTGTATGTATATATTTAGAAAAGCCATGAATGCGGTGGGGGCAGTGTTAGAGACATTTTTACTAAGAAATGTCATCCGACACAGTTTCACCCAATAAAAAAAAAGTTCTTACATTTAAAATAATAATAATAATGCAACTTAAAATATTAGTGTGAGAGAGTAAGTACAATCTTAAAATTATCAAAATTTCATATCAAAACTTTCTTATAAGACGGATTGTAACAATAGGCCGACATTACTCAAGTAAAAGCTTGAATATGTTGCTGAGTTGCTGCACATACCTGTTATCAAAGGCTACAGCCATTGGCTACGGACAGCACAAACCGGCCAAATACGACTATAGCATCTCTTTGTAAATATTCTTTGTAAAATTTGTACAATCTCTGGAGCTGGATCCTGCCAAAATCTGTTCTGGTGTATGTAGTGGCTTATATTTGCTAAAAAGTCGGCCAATCTTCCTACCCTGAAGTGTGTGACCCTGCTAACTCTTTGACTTCTTTTTGGTCATTTTGGTGGAAAAAAGGGAACGTCGGAAGCAACGGTAAAGTTGTCTCAGCGTGAATTATTTGGGTCATTTTGGTGTTTTGGTCATATAAATTACGAGTTCGAACTACTGATTCTTGCATCAGAGTAGACTGCCTACATTACATTCCTTGAGATGCGGTCTTTTTTCGGACCCTACGTGAATGCGAGATGATTCGTGCACCAGACTTTCTAATGGTCATTTAGGTGGAATACAAAAAATACTAAGTAATTTCTTTTTATATATGTGTAAGATTTTGTGGGAAGAAATACTCTATACTTTTCTTTTTAAATGGTAGGAGTCTCGCAAATCAAATCTCCGCTATCATAAATTATGACATAAGTTCGACAATTTGAACCGACCTTAGACGGGGACCCTCCAAAGTACAATGGAGGTCACCAATTAGGCTATGACCTTATTAATCGCCCATTGACCCATCTTGGTAAGTGAGTTACTCCATACTTCTGCTCTAATAAAATATACTTAAGTATCTAGTGAAATAATTAAAATATAGCAAAATTATCTAGACACCATTATTATTTTAAAAAAAGTACTATACATCCGCCATTGTTACAAATCATTGATTTGTGAACCATGCAGTAACTGACCCTGAATACTATCCGTTAGTAATAAATTGTAGAAACACTATGCTCCATCCGTTCAATTTTGCGTGAAGTTATTTCTTTTTTGGTGCCAAAAAAAATAATCATTTTTATTTAAAAATAATTTTCTTTTATACAATAATTTATATCAATACAAAATATATATATATATATATNGATTTACATCTTTTTTTTTCGTCAAATGAGTTAAAATAAATTGAAATGGAGTAGCATATGTAGCTCATGACGGTGCCTTTCTCTAGTCTTTTTTTCCCTACTTCCCTGTCGTTTACCGTTGCTTCGCTTATCTGCCTTTCTCAGTAGTCTTAATAAAACATACACTCATAAATTGTGTGAACTCTTCTCTCTTCCTTTTTTCTTCTTCTTCAATACAATACCAGACACTTACTTGTAGACAAACCTCTGCTTTCCCATTCTCCATTCTCCAGGTATAATTCCCAATTTCAACTTCTTTTGTTTTTTTCTCTCTCATTTTGTTAGTTTCTGCTTGTTTACTTTCCAATTCCTATTTTTCTACTGTTAATTTATATTATATACTAACTATTTCTCGACTTTAGATTGGGTTTTCCTGCATTTAACAAGATCCTTTATTTGGAGTTATCTTTTTGGAATTTCTACTGCATTTTTTGTTAGTTTCTGCTTGTTTCATTTACATTTTCAGTAGAAATTTGCTTTCTTTCTTCTTAACAATATAAAGTTCTGAACTTTCAACTCGGTTTTCATGTATATTGAATAAGATCTGTATATTTGGAGTTTTTTCTTTTTAATTTTCACTGCATTTTACCTTAATTTAGTTGAGATTGCTCAAGCTTTTCTTTCTTTCCTGGTTTTGCATTGTTGAGCACGTTTTCTTGGAGCTTTTCCCCCCCTCTTCACAACACCAAAAAAAAAAAAATTTGCTTTTTAAAATAATGTTGCATAATCTTCACAGTTAGCTCATGTAGTCAAATTATTAAATATCGGAATGAAACGGGTCCTAATGAAACAAATGGATATTGAGTATTCTCATAGCAAATCTGAACTAATTTAGAATTGAGATGTACTTGTTATTGTGATTGCTTGTTCTTGTTCAGAAAAGTTGTTCTTGTGATTCTTTTTTTCTCACATTTGATTAATCTTGCACTTAATTGAGTATTCTTATAGCCAGCTTGAGCTAGTTTAGGATTGAGTTGCAGTTGTTATCGTGATTGTTTGTAAAAGAACATCTTTTTCTTTTTCCAGTTTTGATTGATGTTGTTTATACTTCACACATACAGCTTGTTCACGGTTTTGTTTTTCCAGTTTTCTAGAAAATGAATAAGTGGGTTGGTTCGGTTTTCCTATGCATTGTGAGCATATTGTTTCTGATGAACTGGCCGGTGGCGGCGGAGTTGGAGACGTGCTCGGGGATAGTGCCAATGCAATATCGATATGATAAGATATCAATATTGGACTATGGAGGTGTAGGCGATGGACGGACATTGAATACAAAAGCGTTTAAAGAAGCAATTTTTCGAATTCAGCACTTGAAAAGGAGGGGTGGATCGTTGCTTTACGTACCTGCTGGCGTATATTTGACTGGTCCATTTAATCTTACTAGTCGAATGACTCTTTATTTGGCCCGTGGTGCTGTTATCAAAGCCACTCAGGTATACTCTGACATTGCCTCTGTTTCTGCTTTTCTCAGCAAACTTATTCTTTATTTTTTGTATGTGTACTATATAGAATTAAAATAACTGCATTTGGACAGAACAATTAGACCCATTTTTATTCTTTTTCCTTTTGACTATCATTTGATTCATTTCAAAGGTGAAATTTGATGAATTTATTCATGACTGCTAATTATGAGCTGAGTTTCCTGTGGCATAGACAGCTGAATGGTGAGTGACATATTTTCTTGACCTAGATTTTGGTTCACGTGTTTATGCATTGTTGTTAATTTTGAATGTGGGGCATACAGCATAGGAGGAGGGCCAGCTTAAGTTTCTGGTGTTCATTCAGCGGTACTATATTTGGAGTAGGCTACAGTAAGACAAGCAGTAACATAGATATGTGCATTAAGTAATTGGTGGGCCTTTGGATAATGAAGGGACCTCACACGTGATGGTATTTAAATACTAAGGATTGTGGTGGACAACTATGGTGTTAATTGAATTCAATAGTCTATTAAACTATCATTTGTCTTCATCAGCCACAAACAGATAAAAGAGGAATACGATGAAAGCCAACTTGATCTATGTCTCATTCTATTATTTTACATTACATGCTTGTAAATGCGAAGAGATTGATAGTTGCAAACCTGTTGTTGTATGTGAAAGAAAGAAAAGTGGACAAAAGAAAAGAAAAGAAATAAATCAAAAATAGATGAACTTATGATGTAAGCGCTTACATCGACATTCGTATGATGTAAGCGCTTACATCGGCATTCGTATGATGTAAGCGCTTACATCGGCATTCCTATGATGTAAACGCTTACCTCGACAGGGCATTCAAATACCTATAAAAGGGGTATGCATTTTCATTTGCAAATCATCACTCAACTTCTTCTTTCTCTCTTCAATTAATAAAGAGTTATTCTTTGTGTGGCCGTGGAGTAGGCAAAATTGCCGAACCACATAAATCTTGTCTTGTCTTGTGCAATTTATTGCTTTTCTCTTTCAAATATTTTTCCCTTCTATTAGCCTGACACGTTTCCTAACAACTGGTATCAGAGCCTCCAATGTAATTCTGATAGAAAAGTACGGTACTGGTGCAGGTACTATTCACAAGAATAGTGCGACACTATTGATCATCTTTACTATTCACAGGCACTATTCGCATAAATGTTTTTGTGAAAAATGGCATCGGAAGAAGAGGAGGTAAGATTGACAAGTTCAATGGTAAAGATTTTGGATTCTGAAAAATGCAAATAGATGATTATTTGTACCAGAAAAAATTACACTTACCTCTGACCGAGGTAAAACCAGAGACTATGGCCAAAGCGGATTGGGATCTATTAGATCGCCAAACTCTTGGTGTGATTCGTTTGATGCTAACACGAAATGTGGCGTTTATCATCATTAACGAGAAGACCACTGCAAGCCTGATGAAATCGTTATCAAATATGTACGAGAAGCCATCTGCTTCAAATAAAGTCTATTTGATGCGTCGATTGTTCAACTTAAAGATGACAGAAGGTGGATCTGTCACGGAACATATCAATGAGTTTAATGTAATATTAACTCAGTTGAGTTCTGTCAATATAACATTCGATGACGAAGTCAGGGCATTGATTTTACTATCATCTCTACCGGAGAGTTGGTCTGCAACAGTAACTGCAGTTAGCAGTTCATCGGGAAGTACCAAACTCAAATTGGATGATATTAGAGACTTGGTTCTAAGTGAAGATATTCGCC